CTCAGCCGACGGACCCTAATCCCTCATCCACAATTCCACAACCGGTGTCAACTTCCTCCGGTCAGCACGCGGGTGAAGGTCGGACCGTTCTCGTTGCCATTCTGAGCAGGATGATCTTCACCCCACTCATTCTGCTTCCGATTATGGCTGTTGTGATGAGTCAGACTACCATGAGGCTCTTTGATGAGTAGGTTCCTCCTTATCGGTGATCTATCGATCACTTTGATCAATCAGGGTACTGATCCAATTCTCTCTCTTCCCAGTCCCGTGTTTGTGGTCTCCAACGTGCTGTTCATATCGAGTCCCCCTGCTCTGACGTTGGCACAGGTATGTGATAAGTCTTTTCTGTTTACACCATTCATTCCTGCTTTTCTATACTTTGATTCTTCCTCGCCAATTCGCATGCGTCGACATTCAGCGTATCAGGCCATACAGCTTGATACCCTATACCACTAATTCATTCGTCCGACTTTCTCGCTACCTATCTGTTACACTGGTCAATTACACTGACACGCTTCTTATTCGTATAACAGATTACCCAGGCAGCATCAGGAGACGCGTTTGAACGTCTGATCAGCAAGACCATATTCTGGTCGTACTGTATTGTCACACCGATCACTACTATCGCCTACGTTTTCATTGGGTTGGAGCTATCAAGGCTCTAGATAACAACCACCACACCCCCTCCTTTCGAATCATTTGTTGTTGGACACTGTCTATTGTATTATGCTTATCTGGAAGGAAAACACTATCGAACGTCCCTACTTGGGACTTTTAATATATCAGCCATCGATAATTCTCGGCGACCCTGTCAGGCAATCAAATTGCCCATCCTTCCTTCCTCCCCTTAACCCGGCTATCGAGAGCCGTTTGCAATATTCGCGTCGGAGTTGGCGTGTGATGCCGAGTAGAAAGCCTCTAGAGCATGCGTAGTATTCGAGGTAGACGGTCGGAATCCACGGACCTTCCACCTGATTATGACCGCCAGGGTGCAAGATGTCAGCACAAGCAAGAGTATGGAGAGAAGGTGGTTATTCTCCTCGATTCAAATCTGCCAAGGGTCGAATACGTCTTGGTTGACTCTTGAAGAAGACTCGGCTATGTGTTGTGCCCAAACGCCACCACCAGCCACCATTCTGACGGTCCAAGCCCAAGTGCGAGGAGCAGCAGGAGCACAAGGAGGCGAAACCTAGTTTTGCATGAAGAATATCTCGATGTCATCCTCCTGCTTCGCATCGCCGTCAAAGTTGTCGCCCCTGTGATATTTCATCTCACCTCACTTGGCCCGCCACCACCCCTACAGGGCATCGCAAGATTTCTCCTCCCCTCCTATGGGATCTCTGATCGTAACGCCTCCTCCCATTGATAGGGTACTATTGCGGTAATCCAATTCGACACAAAACGATGAGCCGTTTTTTGACATGATAATATTATCGGCATCTTTCAACTGTCCATCCGACCGCATAGAGAGAGAGAGCGTTTGCTTTTTTCTCCTTCGATCCACCTGTTTTGGGACCGCGAGCACTACGTTCTGTCCACGAGGCCACCCACATATCTCTCTTTTTTCGCACTACACGCCATCGTCAGAGCGAGTGAGTGGGAGGTGTCACTATGAATTCAACGGTCCCATTCGGGTGGGCGAGTATACGGTGGTCAGAGCCGGTACGCCGGGTTTTTAATAGACTCGCAAAATTGGCGTTAGCGAGCTACGTGATTGACGCTTATCGGAGAATTGAAGAGTCAGAGAGAGGAGGAGTTCGATTTTGAAGATGGTGGTGGCACCTTTTTTTGCTGCATGAGCGGGAAACCTCCACACGCGTAAAAGGGAGGGAGGGGGGACGATGGGACTTAACCGCCCAAGCTCAGCCGTTTACCGCTACGACCTCAGAGGGTCGCCCCCTCGTCACAGAGAGAGTGACACACTCTGTCTAGCTTTTTTGCTTGTTAGCGTGCCTTCCGCATGGGATCTGGATTGCAAGTCTAGAACTGAACTCGGACAGGTAATTTTTAATGGACGGGTGTCGTCATTCTGTGCTTTTTTTTACCTCTAGTT